GAAGAACAGTGTTTTGAGATCAAAGTGCTTCTCAAGACTGTGGCAGCCTAACATGTTTCTGTGCTTAGAACCTCAGGAGGCTGAGGCTCCTGAGAAGTGCCAAGAGAAGAACATGCAGTCCTATGCATGCCTGTTTCTGGTTGGACCACTTGGAAGTAAGAAAATTAGAGTTTGTGAGAATGAACCAAAAAAACAAGCATTTACAGAAGACAATGTGCTCTAGGTGGTGCTGTGATGGGCAAGTGGAGGGCAGAGTCAGGATCTTCCTTTGCTCTCAGAAATCTCAGGTTTATTTGGTAGATTGGTCTCCTGGCCTCACCAAACTCAAGGTTCTTCCTTCCCTTTGTCTTTCTTCCTTCCTACTTCTTATCTTCCTTTCTCTTCTCCTTTACAGAAAAGTCTTGCAGAAATGTTTGGAATGTGTGTGTTCAGTTCCTCTGGGTGCTGACTCTAGTTCGCCTCCTTTTTCCTAGGCAGGTGCACCATTAAGAGCTGACTTTACAAGACATGATGGCTGAGATAGCATTGCCTTATTGATTACCTGAGCCCTTGTTCTCCTTTCCCAGGCCTGGGCTCCAAGCCCCTGATTGAAATGAAGGGCTATGAGGATGGGGGCTTCTGGCTGGAGTGCACATCTGCAGAGTGGTATCCAGGGCCCCATGCACTGTAAAGGGACTCCTATGATGAGGTTACTCCTCCCTTGGAAGAAGCCTACACTGTAGACAAAGATGGCCTCCTTACATTTGCTAGAGTTATGATTATCAGAGATTCCTCGGTGAGGAACATGATCTGCTTTGTCAGTGCCACTCTGCTTGCCCAGGAGGTGGAAACTGATTTTTCAACCTAAGTTTGTTTGTTGCCCTATGAAGGTAGAACTCTCAACAGAGAGAGGCCTGTCGAGGTGGTGGAGAACTGAAGTTGGGGTGGTAGGGGTCTGGGTCCTAATGTCATGGACACAGTTGAGCTGAGGCCTCTTCCCTTCTTACAGGGAGGAAATGAAGTACTGTCAAATTCATGAGTAGGAGCCTCTTCTCTGAGGGAAGGCCTGACCTTACTTTCCCTCATACGATCCTGGTACTGCAAAAATTTTTTTGGTACCGGTAATTGAACTCATGACCTCATGCTTGCCAGGAAGACATTGTGCCACTGAGCTAAATCCCTGGTCCTGCAAATTATAAATGTTAAGAAAAATCATGAGTCTTTATATCCATTTGTACTATCTACTGAAGGCCTCACTTCCTGCTCAGGGGATTTCCTGGGGATATACATATGCTCATTAATTCATTCAACAAATGCTCAAAGTACATTGCCTATGCTCAAAATACAATTCTAGAAACCAAGTGCTAAAATCATTGGGCACAACCCAAAGAGGTTACATTATAGAGAGTTGGGGATAATGGGTGCAATGATTCATTAAAACAAGTGATTAAATAAACTGTATGTTATATCAGACCAATACTGTACACAAAATTAAATAAACCGTATGTTATATCAGACCAATACTGTAGGCAAAATTAAATAAGGAAGGGAAAAGGGATTGAAACATCCCACTCCCTTGGGATGTTTCAATTATTACCAGGTTGGTCGAGGGAGAGTTTGGTGTAAATATGGGAACTGAACAAACAGGGAATTAGGCATCAGATGCTTGGGAGATTGTGTGACCTGGATCACCAAAGCCCTGTGTGCAAAGGGACTGATACAGGAGTGTGTCTGGCAGTTGTGAGAATCTCTAGAGGTGATGCTGATGTGGCTGGAATGAAGTGAGTACAGGGCATAAGATTAGAGGACTTCAGAGAGGCAGTGAGACCATGTCAGAGCAGGAACATACACCAAAAATGGACTTAGAGTTTAGTATGAATGATATGGGAAGTGCTTGAGTGAGTTAAGTAAAATATTCACATGATGTCAGGCTCTTCCATGGAGAACTGATTGTGCATGTCTAGAACTGAACAAGGTGTAGGGAAGTGGGATATTGCAGACAAAGAGTGATGGTGGCTCATTCTGGGGTGGTGGCTGTCGTGATTTGGTTTGGTAGGTAAGGGTCAATCACTGAGAGTCACCACAGAGACTCTGGTATTCTAAACAGGTAAACAGAGAATGTATATCACCAGGCAGGGAGAATCTTGTAACAATATTCAACTGAAATTCTGAGGAAAGTACCAACATACAGGAAAGAGTGGACAATTCACGTTTTTAAAGGGCTTTTCCCATACACTTTGTCATATGGAAGTAAGTTTCATTGAATCTTGGCTTTTCAATAAGCAGTAATTCTTGCATGTATTAAATTCAGACACAGTGTCTTAGTATTAGCTTTTTCATATTCATTAGTATTTACAGAAAGAAAGCAAAGACTCTGCTGTTTTAAATTCAAAGACTTTATCTGAGAATATTTATGTCACATATCGCTTCTCAGCCTTTTGGCTAAGATCAAGTGAAATGTGTGGAGAATATTTATGTCACATAACCAAATGATGAGGGTATAGAGCACATGAACACATGTATCTAGGAATCTGTCCATTTTTTCTGTGTTTTCTATCCTATAAGAGTAAAGATTTTCAAAGTAGGTATTGATGATCTTCTGAATTTCCAGAGGATCTATAGTGATTTCACCCTTTTCATTGCTCATTTCACAATTGGTGGAAGTGCATACTGGTGCAACCACTGTGGAAATCAGTATGGAGATTCCTCAAAAAACTAGGATTTAGGTCCCATTCAACCCAGCTAT